GAGGGGACCGTGTGGTTAAATTGCTCGCCCGGCTATCACACGAGTAGAACTCGACAGGTGAGGTGGAGGATATCATGTTAAGATGAGAAGTTAGCTCACCGGACAATCGTCAAGGCACCTGAATAAAACTGTAGAGAAGTGGGAGGGATGGAGACGTTATTTTGACACCCCCCCCTACATTCACTTAGAATTTATACTTGCTTCGATGCTGGTTAAGAGTGGCTATAATCACTGAAGCTTGGTAAGCCAACAAACCAGAAAAGAGAAGCCAGTGATTGGCCAACAATTGAAACAACTTTTCGGTAGTGTTTATAATTCATACATTTTGGGACGGTATGCATTGTGATTGATTCCAGCGTAGATTTCGCTGTGAACGGACATCATTTTGGTAAACATCAAAAACCATAGAACACTGAACTTCTGTTTCATTCTTCAGGATTTCTCATCCTTGACTGTGTCAGTGAGCAAAGACAGGACACGAGACAAGCACGCTGACTATCCAACTACAAGGTCAAAACCCAGTGATCAACGAGTTCGAACTTTTATCAATTCATGAAATAGCACCACCAACATCCAGTGCCATTGGCTGTCTTCCATCTATATAACTGGCTTGGTGGACCCTGCGAATCACAACTTCTCAATGGAATTCCATCCTGTAGTGATTCATTAGTGAAAAATTAGTTCGTAGTAATTTATTTATTTATAGGCAGATTTCTACTGAGTTAAATCTTCTGATGATCAGACTGCCTCCTTGCCAGCTACTTCGTTATCGGAATGTTCCAAAGTGAACACCATTTAGTCAGACGTAAGCTAGTGATCCAAGCTAAATGGTACATCGATTAATTGACCTACATATCACACAACCAATTTCACCTTCAGGCATAAACATGATTTACAGTGAACCTGCTCGTTTACGTGGTGCTTGTAGCATAAAGGGCATTGAAATAGAAACTAAGTCAAGCATAAAGTAACATGGAATGGTTCCTTCCTCTGACCATTCAGCGTCGTCCCATATCTCGTTGATTCCTAAGTAAATGTTCCATCTTATCTTATACATCAAGAAGTTAGAACAATCTAAAATCACTCAACTTCTACCTTTACAGCTTGTTATCTCTTGGATCAACTAACTCCACTATTGTAGTCAAGTGACAAACGAACGCGCCTGAGAAATGGGCTAAATCCATATTGTCTAACTCTCGACACCCACTTTGTTCATTCCTCTTCTCTTACATTTAATCAGGTAGCACTAGAAGTCATTATAAAAGATTGTATACTCTCACAATTAAGTACAAAACTCAACGATATCCCATTCGGTCCGCATTCTGTTTGACAGAGATAGTTTTAAGAGTGATATCCATAGCTTGCTGTGTAATTAGCAAAATAAATGACTCTTTATTCTTCTCCTATTTGTTATTTATGGTTACACTATTTCAGTTATCTTATAATTCCAGTTATTAACATAAATATCATTACTAGTGCCATTATTTCACACTTTTTGTACATTTTTGACTTCACTGTTACTGCTAATACCGAAAAGTCACCATTTACTATCAATTTTGGTTACCTATACCCTGACATATATACAGTGTTTGCTTTTGATGTCATTGAGTAAATTAGTTGCAATATTCTATCAAATGCGGAGAATCTCAGGCTGTTACATAAGCACTGTTTTAGAATAAAACGAATGATCAACATTATTCCAATGAAATTAATCAGAATTCCAATAAACTCAAAGGAATTTTATTATTGATTTTCTCGTCATTAGTGTTCACGTAATGGATGTTCTAATTATGTTATAAACAGTCGTAAACTGTATGATCGACAATGTTATGTTTAAAGAGAATGTTCACTGATTAAAGCGGTTCGTGATGATGTAGACATTATAATTCACACTTAGAAGTCATTAGATTTCTAACCGACAACTGAATGATCAACAGCTCCACCTTGTTAGCTGAAGGTGGGGTCCCAGGTGAACGCTTCTGAAGGGTTTTGAAGTAGAACTAAGCAACTGTCTGGTAATCTCGGCCTTTTAATCCTGTCTGAATTCTTAATTTCTTTTATAATGAAAACTTTATTCTTGTCATATGATAGTAATCTTATACTCCTTGAGTATAATGATTGGTTGGAAATGTGAGTGCGGTCAAAAACACGGTTATATGACAAACGTTTTCCAGATAAAATGCTTTCTAGTATTGGGCTTTATTAGTCTTTAAGAAGGATTACCACTTTCACCAAGTCCCAGGCATCTGTCAACAGCGTACATCGGCATTGTGTCACTATTAACATCATCAGAGTCAAGTATGACCTACTGTATGAAAGGCATGTGGACAGTCATTGGTAACCCGTCCTCAGAGGTTGATCAACGTCTACCAATCAATGAGGACGTCAGAGTCAGCCATGATCGGATCAACCTGAAAATCTTCGTCACTCAACTCAGCATCAACAACAAAATTCGGTCGGATTTTCAATACAAACGTCGAGTTGGTTCTTCTATACGGATCAGAAACTTGGCGGGTGGGTCACAAAGAACATTTCCAACAGCCTGTTGCAGATCTTTATCAATAACTAACTGTCTTCGCTCTATACCGAAGATCAGATGGCTGGGCCGGAAAGAATCACCAACAAGAAACTATGGGAAGAAACAAAACAATAACCAATCGCCAACCAACAAATATGCAGGAGAAAGTAGAAATGGATTGGACACTCGTGGCTGAGGAGGCCGCTGGGTGACATCGCGCGCGCCATTGCTCGAGTGGAAACCGAAAGGGAAGCGGCGAGTGGGGCGTCAGTGCAAGGGTGACATGGAGGAGATCATGTGAAGAGGAGTTGAAACAGTATGGACTAACATGGATGCAGGTGAAGAGTACAGCAGAAAGAAGACAGAAGCAAGTGGAGACGTGCAGTTGAAGCCCTATGTTCCACTAGGAGCCCAAGGGAACAATAATATTAATAACAGGTAGTAAGCCCACTAAAGAAGGGCGGTTGGACATGAGGATAGCAAACTAACTCCGTAAAAAATGAACACCAGTGCTGCTAAAACTTCAAGGTTCAAGCTTGAAGCCTTATCTTCCATTCGGAATCCAACAGAATAAAAAAACAGTAGATAAGTATTCAAGCTGGGTTCACAGGTTAAGTTTAGTTAAAATTTCTTTTTTGTCCTTGTGATATTTGTATTCTGGTAAGTAAATCTAAGGTCATTTATTGACTCAATAAGAGGTAAATCACGTAAGTCTAAAAGAAACTTGTCTTCTTTTCGCAACTATGTTATATATCGAACTCTCACGGTTTTTCTGTCAATTTTCACGGTCAGTTATTTCCATCTCTATAATTTCTCCTTCATACCTTTAGTAATCTAAACAAACATTAAAATATAACAAGCAAAACTTATCATTTACTTTTTCAAATCTCGTTTTGTTTCGAGTTTGACCATAGACTTATTATCAGTTAGAGAGAACCATTGGAAACCGCTAGGTAGTACTAGTGGATAGCTGTTTCGTCCTAGTTTAGGACTCATCACCATTACGAAGCAAATACAGGGGGTTCAAACCCACTGCCTTCTGGTTACAAGTCAAGTTCATACATACAATCATCTAACTGGATCCCACTCAATGACCAGCCCATGAATTCTAACTTCCACTTTATAGTGATTTTAACACGACTGGAGTCAGCCAATCTCATCGATGGCGAATATTTGTCCTCATTCCCCTCTGGATGGACCCAATGGTCACGACTTCTCACTAAAACGTCATCTTGCAGACAATCACTAGCTAGCATCAAATTAATTTTCTAGAATTAGTTTGTAGGGAATCGATTTGTTTAGAAGTTTGACCACGGACTGACATCAGTTGCCTGGAGCTCTAGTGAGAAGTCATGACCAGCAGGTTCCACCCCGTCCGGAGTAAGTGAGGACAAATACTCATCGATGAGGTTATCGCCGATTGTTTCGACAACACTATTCAGAGATGCTTCTTTGAAAGATACGGCCTGATATTATATATATATATATATATATATGTTGTTACGCGCATTTTCAACAAATTCAAACACTAATGGTGCCTAGGATTATATCATATAAATTGTTTTAACCTATGCAAAATTGTGCTTACTGTCAATATTCCATTGTCTTCCCTTGTATATATATCTTGTGTAAGTGAAAAATTTTAAACATGCTTACTCCATGTGTACATTATTATCATATTGATGATGCCTGTAAACTGGAGTCCCTCATGTGCATAAAGTGAGAATATATTATTATAAGATGCATTTTATTGTAATATGAGGGAATCGACTTCAAGCTTTATTTATTTTCCCAAGCATCTGTAATCCATCCAACGAATACTTGGGTTTTTTTTGTTAATGTGAAGTCAATACCTCTTTATTTCTTGATGTGGTCCGCTGAATCACTAGTTATCAAATTTTTCTCACAAACTGAAGATAAAATGACAGTAATCATGTAATTTACCTGTAACTCATGTAATTTAAATATGTAATTCAAATAATACTTATCCATGCCTATACAGTTGGTGTGTCCTACATAGGTAGGAATAAATATGTACCTTATTATATAATCATTACTAACTATGCTTTCTAATCGTATGTGTAATTTATCGAATTGATGATGCCTGTAAACTGGTGTCCCTCATGTACAAAGTGAGAATATATTATTATTATTATTATGTATAATTTATTTTATTTTATTCCTTCACGTTCCAAGCGGAACATGGAGCTTCAAGCCTTTGAAGTTTCGACAGCAGTGGTTTTATTTTTACGGGGTGGAGTTGCTAGCCTTACACCCAACCTTCCCTCTCTACCGGGCTTACAACCTCCTTAGCGAGGTTTAGCAACGCGTCGACAGGGGATCTAACCCCAGACCACATGAAACGCGGTTGGCAAGTGTTCGACCGCTGAGCCACAGACGCTTTATATATATATATTACTCATACTATTGTGAGTTATATATGTAATTCTTGTTTACTTTTGTTCTTTTCTCCTGTTCTTAGGAATCTGAACTAAACACTATCAATAAAACAGATAACAACACATTGAGTGTACCAGGTGAACCGCCGAATCAAAACTTGCTCAGCACCACTTCAAATGAAGACGCTAATGTCAAAAATGACAACAATAATAATAGTAATAATAATAATAACAATAATAAAGATAAGTACTATGATGATGACGAGGAGGACGAAGATAGTGATGAGTGTGACGACTTCGATGAAAATATTGCACATGAAAAAGTAACTCAACAATGGATCAATTTATTATCAGTTGACCGCAATCCTATAAAACGAATCACAAGTTATTTTCCGCATATATGTTAACAAATCAAATTAACACTAGTGTATTGAACAGACCAAATACCGGCATTCAAGATGTTGAGTCGAATTGAAGAAAATGAGTACAGAACATGCATTAGTTGCGAATTTGTTTTACAAACAACAAAAAATGCACATACATATATATACACAGACAGTAGTGTATAATTACCAGGGCTATTGTTTACTCATTAGACGTATTAATCACGAGATGTTGTTGTTGATGATGATGATAATGGTCATGATCTTGTTGTTTACCTTGGTTCTGTCTTAAATCCACATATTTCAAAAGTGTTTCACGTACAGATAGGTGCAATTTTCGTCATAATGAAAAATAATACTAGAAAAATTATTGTAAATTCGTCAGATTAGAATTAATTAGTTACCAATCATTGCTGTTATTATTTGTGTGCAGAACAATGATAGTTAAAATCGATTTTCAGCTGAAGGTCATATATATATATATATATATATATATATATATATATAGCTTTAAAATAAAATTAGTGCAAAATTTAAAGTAGACTGCTTCTTCTTCTTCATTTTTGAGAGGACAGTTTAAACTCTGAGTTTTGCACTTATCGGCACTCATAATCTGTGTATCTGTTTTACAAAGTTTTAGTATTGTTGTTAAACGGTTCAAGGCAGTCGGCAGTAAGCGTTAGACCTAGGTTTCAGGGTCATTGGCACTCACCATTGAGCAAGGCGTATCTGCAATCATGAAGGAAGTCATGTGTCTCTTGTGACATTCAAGCGCGGATCACTCTGTGAGCGATGCAGTCAGAGACGTTACCACTGAGCTATTTGGACTTGCAAGTGACCTATTGTAGGACTGACTGTATTCGATACTTTGGTTGTTATGCGTGTCGTCCTTTTTCTTGGTGCAGACGGAATTCTACCAGTTACTATTAGTATAACACGAATGATAAATGGGCCGTAACATACCAACCATTCACATGAAACCCGTAGTAAGTGGAGTCAAATGGTAACCTGGTTAACAGTTGGCTCAGTCGTTGGGGCATCTGGCTAGAGTAATTCGTATTCTTCTGGTTTGATGCCTGCTGCCACGGATATCTATATTTTATCCTGAGGTAACACGCCTGCTGCTGTCAGAATCAGTCTACTAATCTAAAACTATCTCAGATTGTCTCACCGTCAAATAATATGTATATATTTTGATGTGGTTTTGTTCTCTGAGCTGGATGGTTAGTTTGCGAAGCTTTCATCACCTTACTGGGTGACATCTTCAGCGCATACTTCAATTTGAAGTGAGCTTTTAGATTTCTCCACGAGTTTATTAATCATCTCTCCTGGTGACCTTGGACGTGATTGGTTGTTTATGTGTGTTTTCACACCTTCTAGGTTACTTGTATTGGAATCATTGTTTCTCTGACTTGAACTTTGACCCTTTGTGTGTGAAGTTTCTTTCTTATTGGTTGATAAATTTTGTCTATCTCGATGTGTCTATTGATTGATGATTCACTGGAATGCCAAGCTTCTAAAAATTCTCTAGCATTCTTGTTATTTCCTTTGTCTAATATTTGAACGTTGTCCCAGTCGAATTGATGTCCGTGGTTGTCTGTGTGTAGTGATATGAGCTTATGATCGTGGATACGAAGACGAAGGGGACGTCCACTTTGGCCAATGTAGTGTTTTTCACAGTTGTTACAGTTTATTTTGTAGATGATGTTGGTTTTGTCTTCTTTCGCTGTTGAGTCTTTTGGTTGACATAGAATTGAGTGCAGCGACTTTGTTGGTTTGTGTACGACGTCAATTCCTAAAGGTTTGAAGAGTCTTGTAGTGATTTCTGAGATATCCTTTATATATGGTAAGGCGATTTTCTTTGTGTTTTCCTTGGTGGCTTTTGTTTTGGTAGGTTGGCTTGGGGGTATATGTCTCTTGATGAAATTCCGTGGATATCCATTCTTTTGGAAGACGTCCATGAGATACTTTTCTTCAATTTTTTTAAGGTGGGAGTGCTGCAGTGAGTCCTTGCTCTCTTGAATAGTGTTTGTATGCAATTCCTTTTGTGTGTTATTGGGTTGTTGCTGTTGTAATTCAGTATTTGGTCTGTGTGAGTTGATTTCCTATAAACTTGAGTTTCTAATTCTCCTGTAGTTGTTCGCCTGACTAAGACGTCCAAAAATGGTATTTTGTTCTCGGATTCCTCTTCTCTTGTGAATTTGATGTCGTTGAAGACGTTGTTTATTAAGTTGTGAGTTTTATCTAATTCGTTTCTTTTGATTATTACAAATGTGTCGTCGACGTAGCGTATCCAAATCTTGGGTTTGATCTTTGGTAGAATTATGTTTTCGAGTCTTTGCATCACTGCTTCTGCAATCAAACCTGATATTGGCGATCCCATGGGTGTTCCTTTGACTTGTTCATATATTTGGCCGTTGAATTGGAAGTATGTTGTTAGGCATAGATTTATGCATTCCATCCAGCTTGTGTGTTGCATTTTTGATTGTTGTGGAAGTTGTTCGTCGTTGCTAAGTAATTGCTCCATGGTTTCTTTTGCTAGTTTTGTCCGATGAGGTATATAATGCTGTCACGTCGAAGGATACCATTATTTCTTGTTCATCTATTTGGATGTCTCTGATTTTCTCTAGGAATTGGATAGCAGAGTTGATGGAGTGATCGCAAGATTCCGTTAGGTGTTTTAGTTTTCTGTATAATTCTTTGGATAAATTATATGTTGGAGTTCCTGGGAGTGATACAATTGGTCGTAATGGGATATTTGCCTTGTGTATTTTGGGTCTGCCGTAGAATCGGGTAGGACTGGTCCATTGGATTTCATTCGCCATTGGTCTTGTTTTGTGATCTGTCCAGTTTTGGTGAGCTTGTTTAAGGTCCTTTGGATGCGGTTATCCAATGTTTGTATGGGATTTGTTGGGAGTTGTTGATATACATCTTCATCTTTGAGTAGTTCTTCAGCTTTCTTGGTATATTCTTCTCTGTCCATGACTACTGTTGTTCTTCCTTTGTCGGCTGGTAAAATGACGATGTCCTTCCTATTTTTCAGCTTTTTGAGGGCCTTTAGTTCTTGAGCGTTGAGTTGTGTGTGTTGTCTTTTCTGTTTGACCATTGGTACAATTGTTTGGCGTATCTCTTCCTGTGTTTCCTCGTTCAAGTTTGATGATTTGAGTAATGATTCAAGGCAGCGAAGAAATCAGTTTTTGAAGCATCTCCGGTGTTGTAGTTTAATCCTTTTTGTAGTAGTTGTTGTTCCATTTTTGATAGTGGTTGTTTTGATAGGTTGACTACGCAGTCTATGGGCGTATTGTCTGGTTGTTGTTTTCTAATCTTGGCTAGCTTGGTTTTGAGGACTCTTCGTCTTTGTTCTCTGTGTTTTTCACTTGACAGTGTAATTGCGGTGATCAGCGTTGACAGGTGTTCCTGGTTGAGGGTTTTCTCTAATTAGAGCTACAAATCTTCTCTACCATATCTAGTACGTATATAATTTGAAGATATACTATAAGTTAATATCTATGTGTAAAACGTTTTCCCTGAGGAATTAAATAATATTAGTAAATAAAAAAAGTCAGTCGACTTCACAAATAAGTTTATTGCCAGGAAAATGTATTATTCGATATTGAATCTTTTTTCAGTGGAAAATTTAATTCAGAGCCATTTTTAAACAATCTATTCGAAATAATGTCCACTGTCTACAGTAGTAGAATATCAGGCCGTAGGAAAAATGAAATAAAAATGATTTTTTTCGGATTAAAAATAACATAAAAGCAAATACTTTGGAGATCATCAACTGATATCTTCATTGTGCTATTCCCAGTGGAGGCACTAATGTCCATTCACCAATTAACTCACATTTGCATTGAGTAGTTTTTGGGGAATAGTCACTTTCATATGTCTGCTCCTAAAAGGTGGCCAACTGGATCTGTCAATCAGGTTTGTGTTGCATGCAACCAGCTATAAGATTCATCATTATCGGTGTACTTTGAAATGATGTTAATAGGTTGAAGTCTTATACCTAAATTTTGTGCCAGTTGGTACTTGTCAGAAAAAAGATCAATATTAAGCCCAAAATATTTCATTGGTACAGTATCTGATGGAAAACACTGGGAACATCAGTTCTTCCGAGGTGACAGATATGCCTTGCTGACCAGTGTCAGTGAGAAAGCAGCCTAGTTACCAGGCATCCTACCGATTACCTCCAGACTTCATTTTAATTTAGATGACTGGTTGTTATTGAACAAAACTAGTTTGATGCAGTAAACAGAGATTAGTATCTCCAAAGCTGTAGTTCAACTCTAGTAATAATGTATAACGACAATATAAAACACAGATGAATGGCTTACTGCAGACTAATAACAAGCATTTATCACCACAGAGAGAGTAGGTCACGTAAAGAAACTGTCTGAATCCTCAAAGACATATTGTTAGGCAGTCCCGGGAACAATTTTCACCAAAATACCACTTAAATTTATTAAAAAATATTTTAAAACACAGTTACTGAAGATAAACCCATAAGGCATAAGGCCACATGATATCCAACATTAAATTATGCCATTCACAACTACTTCGCTCGAGGTGTTCATTCAAACATCCTGGTTGCATTCGACAGTATTCACATTATTTGATAACTAGTAAGAATTGGAACTTGTTTTTCCCTTCACATTATTAGTGATGCTTCTTTTTCGGATGAGTACGATTCTGTGTTAGTGTTAAACGCAAGTGGTTCTGAACAAATGAAACAAGCCTTTATTATTATTATTATTTATACGTAAACCAGGTACAATACGGGCACTACATAAAAACATTAAAACAGTATAAGAGTAAAAAGAAACAGAATAGATGACGGATAGCATCAATAAGACAAGTAAGCACACTTCGCATTAATTTTATAGAGCGAAGAAAGGAGGAAGCCACAGCATATTCGCCACTGATTACTACTGTCGGCCATTTCTGATAAAGTCTCTAGCTACTAATTTGAATTACCTCTCTGAGCCCACGCAGGTAGTCATGATACGCCAACAGATGATAAGGTAACAGAGATATACTAAATCCCATGGCGCCAGGTCATTGCCTGACCATCACTCAGCTTTCTGTACCCTCGTCCATAGCTGAATAACTGTGAATGATATGGGAGCCACTGGAGTGACGTCCTGAGTAAGTGTCTAGTCAACCAAAGGCGGCGTCCCAAGATGACAACACTTATTGAAAAACTGCCTTTACCGTGTCTAAATACACCTCGCCAAACCTCAGAAATGCTAACATAACGATATCACGGGATGCAAGTAACTCTGCAGACAGCGATGGTCAAACATGTAGATTCGTCGCAAATCATAGCTCGAAGAGGCCGGATTTTACAGGAGTAGAACAAAACTCTGCTCACTGATGCACTGTAAAGTCGGCCTTTGGAGGTCAGGTTAACGTCGCGACAGCGCCACACG